ACCCCCCGCCGCGAGGGCGGCGGAGGGAGCAGCCCTTAAATCCGCCCGCGTCGGAGTCGTGCGTGGAGGAACGGGTGTGTGCGGGCTCAGGGCTGGGGGTGAGCGCCCCTCTGACGGGACCGGGGGAAGGGGAGGCCCCGGGCTCCCCGCCGGAGCTGTCTCGGCGCGGCCGGGGAGCCCCTGGACCGGACCGGCCTCTCGCTGACCCGGGCCCCCTCCGCCCGCGGCTGGGTCGGGCTGTGGGCAGTGCAGAGCCCGGGGCGACAGCGCCTCAGTGCGCCAGGGGCAAGTCAGGAGCTCGCAGGACTCGTTACCAGGTCCAGTTTTAGGTGGTGAACTGTTCAAAGCAGAACGTAGCTGAAATTCTTGGATGTTCTTCAAAATTCTTGACGTTCTAGGGCACCTGAGTCCTCTGAAGGGATGCATGCCCCGTGTCTTTAGTTCAGAGACTTCCCCCGCTGTAAAGATGCGCAGACCCCTTTATGGTAGTGCTTTCATCCAGTGGGATTGCAGAGCCTTGAGTTTGTGATACATGTGAGCCCAGTGTGGAAGATGCACCTGTTTTTTTTCAACACAGTGTTAACCGCATCTCAGTATCGCTTTATGTCTACACCAAGGTTTTTCTGTTTAATGACAGCACCCTTGTGAGTGACAATCGTTTGCACGTGCCAGGCATGTATAGGCCGCCTGCTTCTGTTGGCCAAGGCTGTTGACCATAACTGCAAGTTACTGCTCTTAAATCCTTGTAATGTTGCTTTGAACCGAAGTTGGCTGCGTTCTTTGTAGTGTTGAAGTGCATTCACCCAAGGGTTAACTGCATTTTTTTCCTGATTCTTTAATTAGAGTGTGCAAATATATGTGTTGAGCTTTGGCTCATTTAGCTTCCGTCTGGTAGAATTATCTCCCCAGGGAGACTTATGTCAGGCTCCAGTTTAATCATAGTAAATCCAAGCTTAAGCACTAGCAGATTTTTATTGTATAATGCATCCTGTTTTGATTTTTGAGATGCTACAGAATCAGATGCTTATATAAATAGGGCTACATATACCCTAATTATAAAAATAAAACTTCAATTAAATTAGTTGGTTAGACAGTTACATTGAGGGAGGTACTAAAGCTACTTGTTTAACTGCAGATCCTGGCCTTTCTGGTTCTGCTAAATGGTCAGTTTTCTTCAAGGGTTCTAAAGTATTTTCAGACTCATGTAACTTTTTTTTTTTTTTTAATTTATTTAGCCAGTTCAGGAAGTAGAGATTGTGGTATAGCTGATGTAGCTGTCACGATTGTCTGAACAGATAAAGCTAGATGACACTTTATAGCAGTGAAGGATAATGTACTATATCACCGTTCATTATAGTGTGCAAACAGTGGATGTGTATTATGTAATTACATTATCACAGATAGACTTTAGTTTTCTGCTGCTTGGTGTCTACCAGCTGGTGTGGTATGGCTTTGGCTATACCTGGTTGAAGTCTTAATTTTGATTTTTGGATGACATGAGCAGAAACGCTTCACATGTGAAGTTGTTAAATGGCTTATAAATACACAAATACTCTGACCACTTCTCTTTGGGGGTGGGCAGAGGGCAGGGAATGATTTACAAAGTCAAGTTGTGAGGAAATAACCAGGTATTAGAATATTCTTAACAACTGATGGCTTTTCAAGTTTGAAACAAAAGAATGCAAGTATCTCATTTTCAGACTTCCCATTGATCTGATAGGATGCTACACCTAGGATGTTGCATTGGTCTGTGCCACTTGCACAGGAATTGTGCAGCTCTGTTCTTGGAGAAAACTAGACACAGTTTCATTCATATAAAATACTTTATCTGAAGGCTGTTCTAATTAAGCTTATGTTAACTGGAAAGCTTGGTGTGAGAGGGGGGAAAAAAAAGGCTTTTAATTACTGTCTAAATTTCTGGGCTTCAGGCACCTTCCTGTGTTTTCTGAGTGGTTCTTGCAAATAGTTTTATTAGAAATAAAACCAGAAATACCTAGATTTCAAAGTATGTTACAAGAATTAAGTCATTTGTCAGGCTGACTGATATGTTTTGGTGATATGCAGGACTTCCTGGAAGAAAGGTGAGAAGGGCACTGTTGGGGATGAAGTGATACTTTCATTTTAGTTAGGCTTAAAGATGCTCCTTGGCACTACCGTTGCTTTTTAGCAAAGTTCTGCCCAGCTTGGATGATTTTTTTTTATAAGGGAATGCAGAAAACTGCATTTGTCAGTTTCTGAGTTTCAGTGGCCTAAAAGAACCTACTTAAGTCTTAGCAGTATTAAAAGTTTTCCTGCTCGTAAATGTTCTAAAACTATCTTATGCTAAAAATACCGTTGAGCTTGGTTGTCCACTCACAACTTGTTAAAGCATGTGTTGCTTTTCAAAGTGCTTGTTACCATTGAGTAACGCCAGAGGTGCTGGCGGGAGAAGGCAGGACTTTCACTCGGGCATTTCTTGTTACGTGTTTCTGCCATAGGATGAATTAATCCCTATGTTATTTTACAAATGTGCTTGAATTTTTCAGGTGTTTTTTTTCTGTTTCCCTAATGTATCTTTCCAGCACTATAGTTTCTACTGAATCAAAGGAAGTGTCCTGTGAAATAGCAATGGAACTTCCTGTTGTTGAACTATTGTTTCAGTTTTAATGCCTTGCTGAACTGCGTTAGCAGCTTAAGGAATGTGTTGAGCCTCATTGTTTAATAGAAATCATGTCTTTACTAAAGCAAAATGGATGCAGGGCTCTTTAAAGCCAATTTGGCTGTGAACTGTAGAAATAGGTATATGAAGCAGCAATTTTCTATGACCAAATTACTTTGTCTCAAACTGAATAAAAATTATATTCTTGATTAAATAAATCTATAAACAAATAAAGAAACAAGTTTAATTATACTAATGGAAGAAGTGAGGTCTGATATGAAATAAATTGTTCTTTAGGTGTGAGATCAAGGGAAAGGATTTACGCTCCGAGGTGAAGAGACATAGCAAAAGGATTTATATTAATGGGGTAGGGGATCAGTGCAGAGGGGGGACCAGAAGATAATCTGTGGAAGATTTGGACAGGGTTGATGATGGTAGTGCAGTGTTGGTGTCAGCAGCAGGGAATCTGTGGCACTAATCGATGATATCAAGGGAGGGAGGGGAAGATCCTTTGTGCCCTGTGTCCTCTTGAGGAACCGGATCAGCTGTCTGGGTGATGTGCAAGAGGGACGGTTATGGTACGCAGAAAGGGAGACTAGGGTGCCGTGACAAAAGGGAGAAAGATCGAAGTGGCATGAAGGGAGAATGATGAAAAAGATGAAAGGATAAATAAACACTCCAGGCTGAAAAATAAAAAATGTTACTGGAGAGACCTGATGTGACCTAGTTTAAAGCACAAAATAGTTCTCAATGTGCACTGCAGAAAGTTGGAGTCTTTGTAGGATATTGTTGGGGGGGGATGTTTTTTTAGTCCTTCGATGTAAATGTGATTGATAAAGTGCAGATTTTGTAGGTGTTATCACAGGGCCTTTGAGATAGGGAACATTTTCTTTCCTTTATGATCAGTCAACACCTCTTCCTCTTTTCCTGGGTATCATTTAGAGTTAGTTTGTTTTGTCAAAAAACCTACCATTATACCTGTGACTGAAAATCAGTGAAAATCCCAAGAATAACCATGGAATCAACAGGAGCTCAAAGATAAAGTGTTTACTAGTGTTTATAATCTTCTTGTCCAGACAGACTGTACCTTTTGTATGTTTTAGTGTACACCATCTGTTTGCATTAGGATTTAACTTTTTCTGTTGCATTTATTGTTTTTTATTTTTCCCAAGAATTGATTGAGGTGGCTGTCACTAAACAGCAAATTTATCTGCGTCAGTTACACCTTTTAACATTTTTTTTTTTAATGCAGACTTTTATTTATAGCTCTCCACAATGGTTTGAATCAGTTTTGCAATATAAATGACTAAATAGTCAATTTTAGTACTTCAGCTGTATCTAGTGATAAGGCAGGACAACCCATCTGTAAAATTCCTCTGCCCTTTAGTCTCCCCTATCTAAAAATGGTGTTTTAAATGTGTTTGTTTAGACGTGAACCACTGGCTCTTATCAACCTCAAAAAGAAAAATGAGGAAACTGGGGAAGAAGAACTTGCCTCACGTTTAGGTCACTGCAAAGCAAAAGCCACCAGGCACATATTCCTCATCCGTCATTCTCAGTATAATTTGGATGGCCGGGCTGATAAAGACCGAACTCTGACCCCACTGGGTATGTATGGCAAGAAGCACTGTACTTTGCATTTTGAGAGAATGGCTTTTCACGTGCTGCTGTCCTGATGACTGCAGGTCAGTAACTCGGCTCCCTTCTGGGTCTCACTGCCAAACCCTAATCCACCTCCTGGATCCTTTGTGGCAGGAAGATCATAGCTCAACTAGCAGTAATCGCGCCTTGGATTAACCCCGCGGGCTGCGGTACTGCTGCTGCACAAAGCTGTCATGACTAACATGAATGTCAAGATGTCATGAATGAGTTTGGGTTTTCCATTTTTGATCCTCCTAGTCTAAACATTGAGACATGCTTTACAGGTTTCTAAACACAGTTATAAAGAAACTTCACAAAGGAAACTTCCAATTATCTTAAAGTTAATTTGAGCAAATTTTCATGCTAGCTGATGTAATTCCCCAGCGGTAAGGCTTTTAAACAGAGCTCCATGACTAACTTTGGGATAGATTTCTCTTAAAAGGTATCTTGTGTTTCCATTAGTTAATTTGCTGATTTATATTAAGAAGAATTACCCCTGACTTTCCTTTCAGTTGGAGTCTTTAAATACGTTTCACTTTTGCTACTAATGACTGTTTCTGGGAATACTGCTGATCAGTTACATGAAATGAGACTAACCTCTGTGTCTGTTAATCTTAATTCATTGATCCATTGACTGGGTCTCATGTTAATTAGTATGTTATTATTTTTTAATAGTGCACTTGAAAAAGGAGTGGACACTTTCTTGATTATATGTATGCCAACACTGTTTTGAGGGGGGAAGAATTATTATTGTGCAGTGCTGCTTGAGGTTTTGGAAGTCTGGTGCCAAATGATTAGTATAAACACCTTCCCCCACCCCAAGTCTTAATCACCAGTGTGCAAACGGGAGTGAAATGCTAATTTCAGGACTAAAGTGCTATCTTAAACTGGAAACAAAGTATAATCTTCATCCTGTCTTACCCTGTGCCTTGGCTAAGTTACTTAAACTGTCTGTTGTCTTTTCGCCTACCTACCTAAAAGATGGAATAAAGCCTTCCCTAGGATGTCCAAGTGGTTCTTAGCTGTTCCAAGCCAATGTTGCCTTTATGAAAAATGTACTGTCGGATCTGAGTGGATCGGTTTGATGGAGTCTCTTCTCCTGTGCTCCCTGCACGTAGTGATGGCAGATGGCTTGGGTCAGCGCTGTCTTTTATTGGAAGTGGCTCCCTTGGGATGGGGCTAGCAGGGATATTGAATACTTTAGTGGAAGTCTCTGAATAAGTTTTGATTTTTTTTTTTTTAAATTAAAAATAAACCCCAACTT